ATATTGTACTAAGAAATACAATACTCTGCAAAAAAGCCTTGAGCCACCACTTACTTTTTCATATTTTGCTTCCAATGAGCCAGACTTTGGTGTAATTTTTAAGTGCTTTTGAGCCATAGTTCTCCAGGCTTTTTTTGGACATGGGCTGCTTTATGAATTATTTTCAGTCCAGTCCTTGTACACTGACCATTTTCAGAGGAGTGATGGTTTGTTAAGCCACTTAAACAGATTCATTTTTTGTTGTTGTACATACACAATGACAATAAAGCACTATTCTATCCACCACCAGATGAACAGTATCTGAAAGTCATGTCCTTAATAAATAGGAAAAAAATCCAGAGAAGACTTGACATAGGACCTGGGAGATGCATGTGGCCCTTCAGTTGATCCATCTACTCTTTGCAGATCCCTCATGAGAAATGATCTCAGAGAAAGAGTGGCTGTCAAAAACAATTTATAAGAAAGAGAATCAGAGAGAAAAGACAGAGGAATACCAAACTACACAAGAACGGCACGGAGTGGCAACAGGTCTTATAAGGTGATGAATCCAAATTTGAACTGCTGTGTTCAAATCTTTGTCGTTATGTATGGATGAGGTCAAGAGAGAGGCATCAATACCCACACTGTGAGGTTAAAACATTATAGTTTGGGCCTGCCTTTCATCAACTGGTGATGGGAATATTGTCAAAATCGATGAAATTATGAACACAGAAAAGTACCATCAGATTTTACATTACACTCTGGAAAGCATCTGACTGCCACCAGCTTAATTGTTTTGCATGACCATGATCCTGAATACACTGCCATTGCAGTAAAAGTGTACCTGGATAGAAAAACATACAAATACCACTATCAGTCATAGACTAGCCCCTGTAGCGCCCAGACCTCAACATTATTGAAGCAGTGTAGGTACATCTTGGCAACATGCAAAGCCTAAAGAACTATTCCTACAGACTACTTTAAGAAATGACAAGAAAATGCATGTAACAGAAGTGATTATACCAAATATTGAATTTCAGATGTGGTAGAATTCTGCATAGCTGTTCAAAACTTTAAAGACTTTTCTCATGAGTTCATTGAAATAAGTTCATTTTAACTTTTGTACTCAAATGAATGAATGAATTCTTAATGGATAAACTTCAGTAGAATAGTACTGAAGACAACTGGATATTTATTAGGGTGTTCAGTTAAAAAAATGAGCAAACATGTTTTTAATATTGTGCAGGGGGGGAGAGGAGGACAGAAATCTGTCGCAGATATACAACTATATTGACGATAAATCAGAGATTTAACCTAGCAGAGCTTTAAATTAGACCAGCCACTTTGACAGATTTTTTTTACCACTTATCTAGTTCTCTTGAAATCAGTGATTGAGGACTAGAAATAATATTGATTGGTCATTTCCCCAAATAAAATCCTGACCATTTAGAGTCAATGAGCCACCTCTCCGGCTGACTCTGCAAAAGACTAGAACAATAAATATCTGCTACAGCAGATGGCGCTATGCACCGTTTACAGTGATTTTCTATAAGCTAATAAAACCAAAGAAGAAGACTTTTTTTTTTTAAGGAAGGAGCATTAGTGAACAGAATTGACGTAGAATATATGGTTAGTTGATCTAAGAAGCCGATTTATTCATAACTACTATTTTTGTAAATAATACAATAATTACGTTAAACGTTTTCTGAAATTTCCAAGGCAATCTGTTCGGTGGTCAAATTTAGCGAGAAAGTCGCTAATTTGGCTGCGCTAATACTGCTGTGGTCAAACCCAGAGCCTGACAGAGAGGATGCCAGCAGCAGAGGAGTCATATGGTGGGTTCGCATTACTCCACTTCAGTAGAATGTTGTTTAAATGGCAATTAAGAAGAATAGATTAGGCTTTCACCCAGGAAATATGTGCTAATTTAGCCACTGCATAGCATTAACTTAACACCGTTGTAACCACAGAGACTTCCTGTCGCTGTCTTTCCCCCACTTATATTTGACTCCAGCATCTGACTCCTAATGCTTAACATACATGCAGAAATACACAAATGTTTACAGCTCAATAATAAAGCCAAAATAAGATGTTTTAAAAGCTAAATGAACCTTGCCCTCTTGTATTAGTTATTACATGTATTATTATTATTATTTTATCCTTGTTTACCCACTGTTATTTGACAAATCACTATGCAGGGTTCTTCAGGTAAGGCCTATACTATATACTATCTTATTTACTATATTTATTTCCGGGTTACATAATTTATATCATCATGCTATTGCAGTTGTGATTGCCTGCTCTTGGGAAAAGAAAGAAAACAAAAAGTATTAAGAAGACACAAGTACTATCATTAGACTCCCATGATGCCTGTGACTGCATTAAAAAGAAGTATGGAAAACCTTGTGATAAATAAATTGTTTCACTTCTGTATTCAAGGCGTCAACAAAGTTGTGGACAACATATGCAGGATTTCTCCAGATCTGTTAGCAGATGTGGTGAGTGTATCTGTCCTTGGTTGTGTATGTTACTATACGGGTGGAAAAAAGTGGCAGCTAGGAAAACAGAGTAGACTTAAATAGTATTTACAGTGACAGCTGCAGACAACCCTCCTTCTGCAACTCTCCCCATTTCCGTTCTGGGTCTTTCCCATTACTTGAGCATCACGTACAGCTACTTGTAAATATAAGTCTTTTATTTAAATTGTTTTGGGGCTGTTTCATTAGTTTCACTGCCACAGGCTCAGACTGGATTATGAAACTCCGATAACTTAAACAGTTGTGCAACTTCAAAACACTGCCTTTATAACTCGCTACTGGAGGATGTTATTGTTGACCAAAATAGCGCTCATTTCAGGGCTATTAGCAACCACTGTGCACAAGTACCATAGGATGTGGTGTAGCTGTGGAGGCTATGCTGCAGTTCTGATAGCTAATCTTCAATAATCTCCACAGTGTCAGCACGTACTGACTTATCTTCAAGGGCAGAAGAGAGGAGTAGATTCAGCTGAAATTTCTGATGTGAGTCACCCTTTCTTTAGAATACATTTGACTTATAATAACCTATCCTCCCAAATTCCTCTTTTGAGACCTTTTCTGGGTTTTTTTTTTTTGTTTGTTTTTTTGTGGGCAGAGATTTCAGAGAGCTGAAGTGAGACTTGATCATGAAGCTCTTCGGGACATGATCAGATTTCTCTTGCTAACATTCCGGTATTTTTCCCCACATTTCTTTTAAATTTTTTATAAAGTATGTAGTTTCTGAATTTGATAACTGTGCCTTCCATGTTCCAGACATTTGTTTCTTACATAGCACACTTAAAAAGGCCAAATTATACATAAAGTAGGATGTTGTCCTACTATAGGCTGTGATAGTAGTGGGTTTTTTTGCTAGGTCAGCTGGAAAGAGCAACATCTCTGGGGATGAACTTGTGTCAAAGCTGGAAGAAGGCTCTACCAAGTGGACCAAAGCTTCCATTCAGGTCTTGCATAAGTTGTGGAGTGAACATGGTGTGTCAGTCCACACTCAACAAGAGGCCCAGGCCATGCTCAGCATCGGTCAGGTTTGTCCAAGTTTAATGAAATAAAGTATATATATTCTGCCCCCCTGAACATATAACTTCTCGTTTTCTCCTCTTCTCTTTCAAAACTGATGGAACTTTGTTTTGCCTTAGTTGGTGGACATGCAGTGGAAGCTTGGCATGGCAGTGAGCTCAGACACCTGTCGATCTCTCAACTCCCCATTTGTGTGTCTGCTGCTGAAGATTGTTGAGCCTTCAGGACAAATCTGTCAGAGGTCTTTTGAGATGACCATCCCACAGTTCCAGGTTTTGTATTTTTTTTTTCATGTGAGTGTAGTGTTGTTGGTGTTATTTATTCATGATATTTTATCCCTCTCCTACTTCTTCTTTCTGCAGAACTTCTACAAACAGTTCAAGGAGATGGCAGCTGTTATGGAGACTGTATGATTGTTAGCACACCTAAGTGCTTGTTATAGTTATACCAGGTTTATGTGCAACTAATGGAAGAAACTTTGACATACGGTAAGTGTTTATTTGCTGGTTGTCTCGAAACACAAAAGCACAGTTTTGTGCTTGTATTTTTCCACAGATTGTGTAACCTCCCACTTGATAATACTTTTAGGATGTCTAGCCTTGGGTTAGCTTAGAGTTCTGCATTATATATTTAAAATGCTAAGCCAGCAAAATCTGACTAATATATGTGTTGCCAAATGTGTGTGATGTGATTCAGTCTGTAATAAATTTCAGTTTGCCTGTGAGTGTGTATGTTTACACTAAACTACCCCCCACCCCAGAAATGAAAACAATAAAGTGACCTAATCTGTTATATTTTTGTCAGGGGTAGGAGACTGTAGTAGCGCACTATACAGCAAATTACATACTAATATATATTCAAATAATATTACATGTAATATTGATTTGTCTTTTTGTAGAGCATGTGATGTAAAGTGGTCCAACTTTTTAATTGTTGCGGTTGTCTTAGAAGTCCGTAACACATTTTTGCCGCTACTTTACTTTGACTCTACAGCTCAAAGGGAAATAATGTCTTTAACCAAGGCTTTTAAAAATAGATTCAGTGGTTAATTTTCTCACTAATATTTTACCTGTTTTTGGAAGCCTGCAAAAGACAACAATTTAATACATTTTACAAAAGTAAATTTATGCAAACCATAGCAAATCAAGATCAAATAGATGCTCTTAAAATGAACACATCATTACTGGTTATTAGTTACACCTTTTTAGTACTGGTTAGACCACTGGTTAGACCACCTTTTCCCTTAGGAATGTTGAATCCATTCCTCATGGCATGGATTCAACAAGGTGCTGGAAATATTCCCTAGTGATTTCGGTCCATGTTAGCATCACACAGTTGCTGCAGATTTGCCAGCTGTGTATCCATGAGGCCAACTTCCTGTCCACCACATTCCAAGGGTGCTTTATTAGATTGTGATCTGGTGACTTGTGGAGGCCATTTGAGTGCAGTGAACCCACTGACATGTTCAAGAAACCAGTTTGAGATGGTTTGAACTTAATGACATGTCACGTTATCTTGCTGGAATCAGCCATCAGAAGAGGCATACACTGTTGTCATAAAGGGATGGACATGGTTACAGTACAATACTCGGGTTGGTTAAGGTGCTTCAATGATATTCAGTTGGTAATAAAGGGCCTCAAGTATACAAAAAAAATATTACCCACATCATTGCAACACCAACTTGAATCCGTGATACAAAGCAGGATGAATCCATACCTTCATGTTGTTTATCCCAAATTCTGACCCCACCATCTCAATGTAAAAGCAGAAATCCATGTGAATTGTAGGCTCAGTTTCCTGATCTTAGCTGACAAGAGTGGCACCTGGTGTGGTCTTCTGCTCAGAGTTTTTCTGCTACATACCTGGGCTGTAATGAGTTGTTATTTAAGTAACTGTTGCCTTCCTATCAAGCTTGGTCCCCCCCCCCAAATACAACAGCTGCTCATTAGATGTTTTCTCTGTTTCAGATCATTCTCTGTAAACCTTAGAAACAGTTGTGTTGGAAAATCCCTGTATATCAGCAATTTCTGAAAGACCAGTCAGACCAGCCTGTCTGGCACCAACAAGCATGCCACAGTAAAAGTCACTTAAATCCCTGTTTTCCTCCATTCCGACGCTCAGTTTGAAATTCAGCAGGTCATCTTGACCATGTCTATGTGCCTATTTTGTTGCCGTCTGTTTGATTAGATATTTGTATTAACAAGCAGATGAACAGGTGTACCTTGAAAATTGTAAACGTGCACAGCAGCTTCATCTTCCATCCCTCCTAATAATCTCATGACCCATGAGATTCTTCAGGTGACCAGCTATTTGTGGACCGATGGGTGGGCATAAACAATCGAACAGCTTCTGATAACGTTTGTAGAGAGTGAGAACTTTTACATTTTTGAAAAACTATTTTGAATAATTAAGCATTTTAGACTGCTGCTTCAGTCAGTATGAACACCCACCATTGCAGTGGTGCGGTAAGTAATAATTGGAGTTAAGAATTAACTGTTATTTGAATGAATATTTCAACTTTTACAAGTGAGCCATTACACACTTCTTATTAGTAGACAATGAAATCCTACAAACTGGTTCAAGAACTCACAAAAAAGAAATAAAACTTACATTTTGGTATGCTTTTATGGTAAAGTAGTAGTTTTAGAAGTAACGTTTGATCCCTGGGCCTTCAAAGATACTATAAAATGATTATGCAGTCCTTAGATTTCAAGATCATTTAACTCTGACGCACTGCAGTCTATGGATTCTGAATGTTATTTGCAATCGAATCCAATTAAAGTACAACTTTAACTTTATACCAACTGACAATGGTATTCAGTGAGGATCCGGGATCAGCTGTGTATCTAGTCTGCACGCATCTACATTTAAAGTAGGTACACACCATCAGCGCGGGGGTTGTTTGGTTGTAGAGCTCCTGGCTACCGCTTCATTGGTGAGTTTATATATGGCTAAGGTACTATTTTGGGGATAGGCGGACTGCTTGGATATTATAGCGTTAAGTTGAGGGGAAGTCTTCCCGTGCATAAAGCACCACATATGATTATGAATGTCGAGTAGTGGTGGGACTGAGATTAACCTACTTGTGAACAGCCGGGACTCACTTTGCTTAGCAAGAAAAAAAAATTGCACATGTTATCGAAACATAATATTTTGCAAAGGGCTTGTTTTTACAACCCCTGGTTCAACCTGATGGAGGCGGTTGGCAGGTAGAATTACAACCAACGGGAGCTGGAACCAAGGGCACTTGTGCCACGGGGGGCTGAAAACACATCTCACGGTGCCACGAAGAAAGAACATTTCCAGGTAAAACTTAATGTACTGTGGAGAAAGGCGGAGCCTCGTCCTGTCACGTTTCGCACAGCGGCTCTGCGCTGCCCACTCCTCCAGCACATGGGATGGATGGGCGGTTCGTCACAGGCGCGCAGCCGCTCCGCCTCCGAGGCGTTGTGGAAGGAAGGATCACTGACGGGAGACTGCGCCGCAAGACGATAAACAAGCATCAGTGTCTGTATTTTATTGTTCATCTGCAGAGAGAAATCGCAACGGTGGCAAAGAAGCGTTTGTGCACTAGGATTTCAGGACCGGGACGTTGGAAATGCGCCGCCCTGCGTGCGCATTCGGAGACAACGTCCAACGCGTCAAAGAAATCAGATTTCTCTGGGTGACTTGTGTTTACACGGGAGTCAACCAAAGCCACGTTTTTGGCAAGCTATCTTGGTTGGGACAGTATAGTACAGGGGTGTTTAGCGCTTGGTTCTCCGCCTAAGCAAACGGTGGAGCGGAGCAGGGAGTAAAACAGCGAATAGACAGCACTCGAAGTTCTTTTTTTTAATCCTTGAGGGAAAAACTGAACATCATGGAGAGTTGCAGCTGATCGAAAGGGCGAGCACATGTTGGAGGTTTGTTTGAGCGCTGCGTAAACTTTGTGTATGGATGTGGACATGGAAAGTGTTGCAAACTAAACACAACTACAGCTAGCCTCGGTGGCAAGAGGGAAAGATATATTGATAGTGTTTTATTTTTGTTTTGGGGTTGTTGTTTTTTTGGAAGTAGGATTTGCTCTGTGTTGTTGTCATCGAGTTTCGGGCGAAAAGTCTGCTGGGTCAACATGGAGAGTCACGACGAGAAGGAGAAGTCGGACAACAGGTTCGCCCTCACTTACATCGGCTGGTCCCTGCTGGACAGGCGGACCACCCTACCCATGCTGCCGTGGCTGGTGGCCGAGATCCGCAGGCGGTGCGAGAAAGGCGACTGCGGCCCTGTGATGCAGCCCAGGGAAGTTCATCTGGTCCTCTGCCCCCCCTTCATCCGATGTGTCCCCACCACCAGCAACAACTCCTCAGTGTTCATATTCGAGCACAAAGCACAGCTCATATCTCGCTTCATTCACAACAGCAATGACCTCACCTATTTTGCCTATCTCCTGCGGGGCCAGCCCGACAACCCCGAGTCCGAGATGTCCTGTCACGTCTTTAAGGCCTGCGACCCCAACCAGGTAGGCCTGCTCCTCTCTGCACAGCACAGTTTTCAATACCATGAGCATGAATGGACCAAAACTCAGGCCAAAAAAAGTAACGCGGTGATCCATTAGGAACACACTTATAAAAAAGCTTTAAATAATATTTTTTTACACCTAAGAAGACCTGAAGCAAGTATCCAAATCAAACGTCCTGAGTATATGTGACTAAATTAAATATGATGTCATGGTGAGGCAAACTATTTTTTTAAGGGTGGACTGATCCTGTCATTAGCTGTAAACTCAAAAACAATGGGATGTCCAACTAAGCCTGAAGTGAAATGTCTCCAAGGTGAAAGCTGTATAATTTAATCTCAACCTCGCACAATATTTGATCAGTCGTTGGTCAAAATGTGTTTGTTTTGGGATTAAGTATTTAGGCCACTAGATGGTGGGCATGACAAACCCAGTACTGTGTTGTTGTTGTTTTTTTGGTCAAAGTTAATCTATCCCTGGCCTTTCCCTGAGCTTAAGTACAGTGGCCCTGAAGCTCAGTGCACCAGAGCTTAAGAAAAGACATATGGTTTTACCAATTTTGCACCACGAAGGGAAAATGATAGCTGAAAGCTCCCATTATAGAGTGGCTTTTTCTGTCTTTGTGTCGGTTTATCCCTTTTGCAGCGTCATGTGTCAGACTGGAGAAGATGGGACTGTGTTTCCTGAAGTTGCAGCGCTCGGCGCTCTTGGGGCTGCTGTAGATCTGACATGTGTCTGTTGTCTGTGGTGTGACAACAACTGAATACAATATTGAGTCAGCACATTCACTTGCCGATCAGCATGCCACTCTTGAGTAATAACTGAAATAAACAGCCAGAAATCAGGAACGTGGGAGTCTGTGATTAAATATATATTGGTAGTAATCCTTTCTGCTCTTTTCTGAAAAGCAGTTCATAGCATATTTTTTTAGGAAGTTGCTGCACTCAGTAGCCTACCCTAGTGTTTATCTGAGTTATCTTTTCTCTGATTTGGTGGTAGAGAATGTTATTTATACAAGATTCTTAAACAAACGCAGTTTAATCTTGGTGCCACCTCAATTCCTAATTCCATGCAACCCATTCTGAAGTCTAACATCCCTACTCATGCTAATCCTGTTTTCCCACTGACTCAGGAAATGTGCACCAGTAATGTTCACAAACACATATCTAGTTATGCTCACATTTTGCATTGATCTCAAGTGTGCCCGTGCCGTATCGTGTTTCCTGTGC